CTTACATTCCCCATTTTCCATGATGTACACCAAATTCGATTCCCTAGATTTTGTATGTGATACTTGAATTCGTATATCAAAATGGGGGCAAATTTAGCAAAATGCCCCTTGCTTCTGGTAACACAATTTATACATAATTTTAAAAATATTACGACATTTGGATGATAACCACTTATTTTTCCTCTTTATTATCAATTTAGTCTGGATAACAGGGAGACTGTATAAAGTTGACAGTCTTGCTTGCTCTGCCATAATAGTCATATTTCTTTCCAGTACCGAACTTAGTACATTCTCATTCAATTCCTTTGCAAACGTAAGGCTGACGCTGTCTTTAAGACTTTCCTCTGGTTCAAGAAACAGAAACTTATGCTCCCTTCGTCATGAAGCTATACATCAATCTCATACCAACTCAAAGTTTACAGAGTCAAAAAGACTGATATCGCTACATTCCCTAGTCGCAGGTCCGATCCCGGAAATTTTCATAAATACTAAGTCTTATCGATCCGACTGACTCGTGAATACTGCGTCTAACCAACACTTATTTAACTTTGTATATTAATCATCATTTGTTTCAATATTAAGTTGTCCATGTAATTAAAGCAAACTAATAGCTGTTATCACCCTATCATAAGATGCTAAATGGCTGATATTTTATTTATACATATATCCTGCACCAGTACTATTCGAATTTGAGAGAAAAATACATTCACGGAAAGTAGATTTCGTTACTTTAACTCTTATTCAAAATCAGACATACGTTTTCAAGATGATGACTGTTTGGTAGTTGAACTTTCCAACATTGATATGAATAGGCCTCGCGATGCCATCTAATTTAGCTCAGCTTTGCTTCCTAAAAACTATTTCTGTTTAAAGATGATTGCCGTTTATACCTCTCCCGAGTTTCATTTGTACCCCCAACGGAAATCAAATCTGATAGTTCAGCTTATAATTACGAAATATCAGTATTACGTCACATTACCACAATACCAGTGGATCACAGGGCAGATGTAAATGTCAAGGCTAATTAGCCTTTTTCACATCACATTTTGTAGGGAGGTTATCGGTGAATCATACTTTTATTTGATATTTTTATCGATCACATAACATAGTCTGATTGATTAGGTTTCGAAACTACCAGTAATTCTTGAATAAGAGCTGTATTCACCTCAGGTCGCACAGAGGGATGAGGGACTGATAGTTGAATTTTCCAACAATTATGTAAATGGGCCTCACGATGATAGAAAATTTTAATTATCATTGTTTACTAAGAGGTATTATCATTCAAGTTGGATTATACTTTTGATCCTTTCTGGGTCCGATTGGCATCCCTAACGGAAATCTGACCTGCATAGTCCAACATCTAATTTCGGTTTTCTACTTTTGAGCTTGAAGAAACGGCGACCCAAATACAAAGACGTGCTTGACTTTCCAAATATGCCAGGTCTTCTCCAGTCCACTGATGTGACCCCAGTTGTAATAAAATCGACAGCATTGCACCTACCAAATAAGTTAGCTTTGAAGCCATTAATATACTTCTAATTATAACTCGATACACGATGGGTCAACCGCTTTAAGTAATATATGGCATCTTGAGCTCTTATAAGAAGGGGATTTACTGCGCGTTCTTTTTGATTTTGTGATTTTCGAATTCTTAGTGTGTTCACTCTAAAAGTACACTGTTCAGGTGGAGTGATTAAAAAGCGCTTACACACTTAAAAGTGAATGCTTGGCCAGCTAGTTCCCTGGCCACGTTAATCGAAGCATTTCATATTAGCAAATTCAGTATCTATCGGAATTACACGCTCTTCTCAAAGACATAAATGTATGTGCCTTTTTCTTCGAGTTCACCCCCTTATATTTTCCGACTAACATTTAGTTAAAGGGCCGATGAATACAATTTAATGGTAAGCAATATTTGCTCAAAGATTGAGCTTACCTCAGACACAAAGTTTACAAAGGAAATCAAGAACGTATTCTGGCCCAGACTATGAATGGCTTGTTTGTCCACGAACATATTATTTACACTTATTAGGCCATAGGAAGCTTGCAGGCAAACTGAGCTATTTTCATGACATTGACTAGCTGTCGTGGGTACAAATTTAACTTAGAAGCAGTAGTGGCAGTAAGGACTCCAATTTTATACGCTTAAGGTGAGATTTGAAGCTAAATGAGCATTACAAGTTAATTGAAAATAGTAGGGGAAATGACTCCTTTTTACCTAACGACCACACAATTGTTAGAACCTTGGGTAAAATAAGCATTAGAGGAATAAATGTTCGGAAATGGCTTATTACTCTTATATTAATGCAGAGCTCTGGAAACCTCCTCATTGCTTATTCCTTATTGGTCACATTGTACGTTGGCTGATAGAGAGAGGTCGAAACATTTTCGATAGAACATATTTTTAAATCGATTGTTTGGCCCAAAATGAATGCATAAGCAAATCTTTTTTCATCATAGACATCTTATAAAAGCAGTGTACCATAGCCGTAAACTAACTGCTATTTGTGTAAAGTTTCGAAATATACTCAAATTTTCATTGATGGATTGGATTATGAATCCTGATTTCTCGATTTAGTTTAGCATAATTTTTCTAATTCTATTGATAGAGCTGCATTATTGAAATTTACCACTAGTATTTATTGTAAATGTCTCCTTGTCTCTTTCAAACTAGGGATTCATTGACGAGAAAAATCTTCTTGTTGGGGTTCTAGAACCTATAACAAACCGAATTCGAGAGGCAAATGAACGCCCAAAGGCATTTGCTAAGCTTCAGAAAACTGTCAACTCGACACTGGCGCTCATTGATTCCTTCTCTTTTCTGGCTGAAAAGAGCCAAAATCTCTCTTTTCATCTGCATTTGGCACGCCTTAAGCTTTCCGAGCTCGATGCTGCGTCGCTTTCGAGCAAGAACGAAACCATTAATTTAAACGAAATCGGAGAACATACAGTGGACAGTAAAGTTAACATCGCAGAAACTAAAGAGACTAAAGAAAAATTGGAGAAGAACGAATCTCAACTTCCTCTAACAGCTCCGACTCAATTAGAGGACAACTTCTTTTCGATTTACGTTAATACTGAAGACATTGATCATGCTCTATCAGTCATTGGAACAATCAAGGTTAGTTATAGTTAGAGGCGTCTTTCAAATATGCTTTGACTTTTTAATATCTGAATCACTTGTTGCTGGATTAGGGCAGAGACACCACAATGGACTGCTGCTTAGAATCACAACGCGGACATACTGTGTTGATGTGATGTCAGCCTAGGAAAACTCCTCTTGCTGCCATGTAGTTACTCGAGTCCTGTTATTGTAGCAGCGGGATTTTATTTGGGAATTCATCACTTTGTGATCGAAGTCCTTTTTGTGCTGAGGTCCAGCTGACTTACATTAAGCTAATGCAAATCTGAATGGAGACCATGGGGCATGTGTAAAGCGGCGTGTAACTACAGGCATCCCTGAAATGGGTTTGTCGAGCAACTGCCCTGGTTGTGGATACGATATGGTACACGCAAATGCACACAAACTAGAGCATATAAATACTTTTATTAACAGAAAATAGAAATAATCAAATAGTTTTTTTGGATATGCAAGTTAGGATTGGCTGGTCTTATTGACTCGTAAAAATGGGTTCCAGCTCTGGTGTTGTACTTCAACTAAGCTGAGCCTCTTTTCACCCAAATTGAGGGAGAATCTCAACTGGAACGTTTAAGTAAAATCCGCATACTGTATATTAACGTGAATATCTTCATCTTCTTCTGAGGCTGAATATCTTCTCTATGCTCTTCCACGCGAAATGAAATTCATCCTTTATGGACTGTAAAATGTTCGAATTGGACAGACTGAGCACAGTTAAGAAAACAGCAAGATAACTCGAATGTCTATATTCACTCAAAGAAAAAAAGGAGGAGGCATTGCGTCTCAGGGATTTTATAAATGCAAACAAAAGCCGGAAGACAGTGTTCGTGAAATAACTTAGGCAATTTAGTACTCCGGATCCATATAAACTAATTTTATGCAACATATAGCGATAAAACAAATCGATTCAATTGTTATTCTTCAAAATTTTGGTCGCAGGAATCTACACAAATTCACCATTTAAATATTTTAATAATGATTAAGATTCTCATCTGGCACAACTGAGCTAAGGTGGTGACAACTTCAAAGTGTGTTGCTTCCTCCTATTTCTCTGCTTTTCAAGATTTCTTCGGGGAAAACTATATTTATCAGGCAAAGACTGAGAATTATATTCTCTTCATATTCAACTTAAAGTATATCTTAGAAGATAAAATTTATCAGTTTATCTGATCTATCTTATTTCGTTTATCGTCAAGATTTGTTTACATAGGTAAAGAATTTTGTTATCCTTTGTTTACTGGCAGAAGTTAATATACCACCTTAGTTTTATCCTCTCAGCTGGATAGCATGCCTGTTAGAAAGTTTCTTGAATGTATACCCAGAGAGAAATGTAGACGAGTGGATTTTCAGCCATAATTCTCTTGCATTTTTTCTACAATTATCCATTTTGCTATTATTTTGTAAACTGATTGCATGCAATAGGACTAAATAGTCACCTCTTATCCTAAATAGGCATGGCAGCAAGACGCTGAGATTCGACAAGCTAACACTGCTCTTGATCGGCCACCTGCAATCATGAGTTCCGAGATACAGATAAAGACGAACCAAGTGAATACAGAGTATTCATATCTCGTGGGTCGTGTCAACCTATGGCGTAATGAGTATATTCGGCTATCACGCGAGCTGGATGCTGAAAATGCTAAATTGCTTCAGAGGCAAAGATCCACAGATATTTCAGAGCAAGATGCTTCAAGTAAAACTCCAACTAGTGATGCTGATGGGCCAGAGTTAAGTGAGGACAAGATACCTTTGCTGAGTAAGTCTTTGCATAAGCTCCTATTTCTCTTTTTTTCATTTCAAAAAAGACAATTTTTTCTTTCGAATTTATACATAATTAACTGGCTACCTATATATAAATATCTAAAAGCTCGTATATACACTTGTGTATACATGTTTATTCATGTAAGAGTGTGTGCTAATTTTATGCTGACGCTGTTTCCGAGGTAATCTCCTTCGATTCCGGTGAACACG